AACAAAACAGCTCTAAAAATTAAGGTGGCGTAGTGTTCATTTTTTTTCATTATGTATACATACATAATTAGTTTCTTTTAGTTCATATTATTTTTATAACTTTAACGTCATAATCTCAGTACAGAGTATAAAAAAAACCACTTCTTACGTCATTCATCCCTTAGTTTGCCACTTTTAGAGGTTTAATATTTACTTCAAATTTAAATAGGATCACTACTGAGGTACCCTTTTTCCAACAAAAGAAGAATCATCGAACTAGGTTCACAAATTAACGCGCAACGTACATAAATAAAAACATAGAGTTGAAATAGATAGATAGATAGATATTTTTTCCTTTTTGGAAATCGGTTAATACAAGCACTTTTGCATCCATACGTGGCTTCATTATATTATATATAAGGGTAGGATTTGTTAGAACAACTAGTGTACCCGATATTTTGATATGGTTTTTTATACTAAATGACGGAACGAAGTAGTCATGCGCCTGATGGTAAGCAACACGCCTGTCCGTATCAATTGCAGTGCGACTGCGCCTGTCACCCTGATACCTAAGTTGATAAGTCCCATGTGCCCGTAATTTCACCAGCACCCTTATACCCTTCAAAACCGGAACACAGTAGTGCTTACTTTAGAATTTTTTTATTTTATATAAGTATATAAGTAGAAGGTGTAGAATATCAATAATAATAATCAAATGCCTAACATTTTAGCTAAACTGGTTAGGTAAACTTTTATTTGCTGTAGCGAATTGAAGAGAAAGTCAGATAATACATCCAATGGAATAGGTTAACAATGCAGTCTTCGATTTCCACATTAAAACATCATTTGAAATTAATAAAACCCGCAATACAAAACAGAATACTCCAAAAAGTCGAGAAAATTACCATCTGAGAGCTAATAACTCGTCTAGATCAAAGTAATGAGTTCAAACACGATAGTTCGTCTGTCTCAGAGCAAAACGTAGTAAGGGACTTTTTTTTTAAATAATTTTTTAACGGAATACTCCCATAGTATTTTTTTATAGCCCCGACTAAGGAAACACTGTGTTGCGGGTGCCATGGACACACACATAGTCTTAGAGCATATAGGACGGGAGGCGCTGTTACAGTTATTTCTCGAACAAAACTTTGTGTCACTTTTAGAGGGGCGGCGGGTAATACTACCAGCAAAGAGGTGCACTCAAATGCAATATTAAGATGTGTCACTATGATCTCATACAAACAAAAGTTGATAACACTAGCTTATTTTTACAAATACATAGACAAAACACACATTCTTACCATGTCCGTATACAGAATAGGCCTATAAAAAAATCGATTCGATCGAAGAGCTAAAGGTCACAACCTCGGATTTTTGTCGTCCAAGTACGCAGAAGTTGCATAATAATCTTTAGAAACTTTTTGTTTCACAATAAGTAGTTTTAAACTTCGTAAATGGCAAATTTAAAAATATCATTATAGAAGCGTAGACATTGCCCTTTAAATGAATTTGAGACTTTATGAACACGACTGTCAAGAACAGCTCCTTCACTTTTATTCCTCGTATTAATGTTACGTCTGTCACTATTTTTCTTAAAAAAAAAATATTTTTAACATAAATAACATTTTCATAAATGTACTTATGACGTTAGTGTAATGACGAATGTTAATCTCTGTAAACTTATCTCTCAGACACTCTGGGGACTAGATTGTAAATTGCCCTAACCGCACGTTTCTGCAGGACAAATATTCTATTAGTATCGGCGGCGTTACCCCAAAGCAAAATGCCTATGTTATTAAACCGTAGCTGTGTCGACGTCTGAAAGTTTTCGTATTTTTTATCGCTTACACTGCAGATTTGATAACCCTAAAATATATAGACCCCATTGCAATTTAGCAGCTAAAGTTATACCTAGAAATACAACTGTATCAGTATCTACTAGGTTCAATTTATTGTTTCTAGCTGTAATGTTTATGTCCGTCTATCTAACACTGGGTAATGTAAATTTCATGCAATTTGTTTTTTTCTCTTTTTCTCATCAAGGAGCAGGTTATTAACTGCAAAAAAAAGGTTATTAACTGCAAACCAATTTACAAAAGCAGTCTATCGTGTCGAAGCACGTGACTGAGATATGTGATTTTGTGCTTCTTGACGGTCTGTATCAGCTGGCGTGAAGCGTTAAGGTGTTATCAGATATTTAGAAACTTTAAAAACCAAGTAAGACACGCCTTCGTGATCTACCAAAAATCCTTTAAGTCACTTTAACCAGTTCAAAAGATAGCAACTATTTGACACTTGCAAATGTCTTACTGGGATAGTGGAACTTAACTGATATTGAAAATTTTAGTCGTTTTATTAATTTACTAAATTAGTCAAACAAAATCAATTTTTATTCCAAATTTTCTAATGCAGTAACTAATACAAATACTCAGCAAATGCTTACGAGCGGTTACACACGCGTGATTTAAGCAGCGAAGCAAACGCAATGTAAGCACGCGACTGCACCTTTTTTTTTTATATAAAATGTAAAATATAAAATGTAAGTGCGCATTTGACCTCCATCTCACCTGATGGACAGTGACGATTAGGTCGACGATGAAGCATGCACACCTAGCTAATGCCAATTCACTCTCGCCTTGAAAAGGCCCAAGTTATAACGTTCAGGGAGCAAGTCGCCATATAAATGTGGAAGCGTAACGCTTCGTGCGAATCTTTGGGACTATCCACAACATAGAGATGGAATCCAAGCCTGGTCCCCCGGTGATGGCGGAATTAAATCGTGTTATTCCATCGCACACTTTCCGTGATATATCCTGTAAAATACCAATAAGCAGGCAACATTACGGCGGTGGTCAAGGTGTGCATCGGTACAAACGCGCGATTGTATCACTACACTTGGGATCTAAAGGCGATTGCACCGATTGCACTTATAGATAGGGCAAAAGCGCCATTTTGAAAAAAACATTCAGGGGAGCATATTTTAGGTCTAAACGGTGATTTAAAAAAAAAAGTCCGGTTTTAATATTCAATTTTGGTTATAATCAAGTTTAAGTTATAAAATTTTATTTAAAAGAGGACGTAAATATTTTAAAACAATCGTGAAACATTAAAACATACTCGGCTGAAAAAGTTTTCAAAATGGCGCTTTCGCCCTTTCTACACAACACCGCCGATTTACATTCAAATTTTATTTGTATATTTAATGAAAAAAATTAAGTAAATAAATAAGCCATAACGAAAATGGCGGAAGCTATAAACAGCAACTCAGCTACTCCTGAGAAAAAAGGTTAAATGCTACAGTTAAATACCTTAAAAGCAACTGACTTTAACGTGCGAATTAACACTAAAAACTAATTAGTCCAATTATCATTAATTTGTTTATCACGCTTCACGAGTGACACCGTAACCAAGAAAGTTATGGGAACTGTAAAAGGTGCACAACAAACCATTGTTATCTAAATCATTCAGACCTAACTAACATGTTTAAATAAAAAAAAATAATCGTAAATACATCTATTACATAATTCTTTAATACATAATAAAATTACAGGGGAAATTTCTCACTATTGTTTATGATTAATTCAACTTTTGTTTAGAGAAATTTTGACGTTATGTCATTTAATTGATTATAATAACGATGTTATAATAGAAATAATGTTATTTTTAATGTGCTCATATAATTTTATGTTTAGGAATTCGCAGTTAGAGGTTAATAATAAGGAAGTTCCATTCAACGGTTAATTACTAGAGTTGAAGCGTATATTCGGTTACTATTCATTATTCGGCCTGTTTTCTGCTACCGAATACCTTAAAAACAGGAGGATGAAATAAGGTAAAACACAGTAAATTGTCATGTCATGTGAGTTCGTCCAGGGAAGTACAGCCACACTAATATGAACAGTTTTCCGGTTTTTACAGACGCACAGTGTCAACTTATGTGTCAAGGTGACCGACGGTGTGGCAGTGCCACTCAGATCTTTGCGATTTAAAACTCTTGAGTGGCACTGCAACTGTCATGAATACTACCAGGCGCATGACTTGTTCGTGCCGTAACTTGATATCAAAAAAAAAGAATGAAAATGTTAGTAATGCTGAACATACATTGTAAGTTCGCAAATGCTCGATTTTCCGCTTCTTTCTCTAAAAGATCAATGGAAATGTAACATGACTAAGTTATTTTTTTTGGAGATCAAGAAAAAGTAATATATCAAATGAAAAGTACCTACTTATTATGTAGTTTACTCATGACTAAGTAAATAAACGCTCACAAAATGAATCAAGTACTTACTTATTATTTGTAAATCGTAATCTCAATACAGAATACTAAAATGGGCGAATTCTAAAGTTTGTGGAATTACATTTATTCGCCAAATTTTATTGAAATCGGTTACCGGTAAGTGCCCGATACTGGATTCATAAGTAATTCCAGTAAATTTTCCACCCCTACAGGTGGAAAATTTATTTCAAATTTAAATGGACCTACTACTGAGATAAGATCTTTCCAACAAAAAAAGAATCATCAAAATCTGCCGGATTTATCGCCTAACATGCATACAAAAAAGAAATAAAAAATAATTAATAAAAACTACTTTCTTTATTACGTCATAAATTTAAATTATAAACTTGAAAATTGAGGACCTTGTTTTTGTTTGTTATTGAACAAAATTATTTATCATAACTACATACGAGTGTACATAAGACGTGTGTAACATACATACGTGTGTTAATCACACGTTAATTTGACCGAATACTTTGGTAATCGGCAACGCTCTAGACCGAATATTCGGTAACCGGCCAGAAGCTTAACTACACTATTAACCACCTTTCTCGGAAGCAACTTCACCTTCGGCCTTGAGTAGCGTGGGGGCCAGCGTAAACCGGTGGATGGCGGGAGAGAGCAACGAAAAGGATTTTATGCCTGCCAGCGCGCGCTAAGGAGGAATATTCCCATACGTACGCCAGCAGCGTACAGCAGAGAGCCACCGGACGTTTACTGAACATTTTTTTTTTGTTTGTTTCAGACATTTTCCAATACCAACAAAAGAAAAACATACACAGTGGAACAATCATAGACGTTACGTCGGACAAAAATGGTAAATATCCCACGCGTATAATTATATATGTTTTCGAGATTTACATAGTGCAGCAACACACGACATGATGTCATTTTCAGGTACTCGTAAAATCAGTCCTGGCGAAAATGTATTCTATTTCTATATAATAAGCCCCATTTATTAAGAAACTGAAGTAAACCAAAAAAAGGCTTAAAAAACGTACTGCCGCCATATTTAATAAACCACAAAAGACATGCTACAACCGCTGTATGAGCTTTCCACCTATTCGCAACAAATATTTGCATACTGGTAGCGCTTACATCTTGCGTACGCGCTCCATATCTCTCGGTTTTACGACATTGAGAATGTGAAGTTCGCTTTCTAAAGCCCTCGAAGAGAATTTATGTTTACTTTGTGAGACCGATATCTTATTCAATCAATCTTTTATGTGTATTGGCGAGCTAGTGGAATTTAGAGAAAGGTAAAAAATTAATACAGGGTATTTGAAAAGGGTAACGCTATTTACGAGGGTAGAGGTATACCTCGACGTACGTATCGCGATCAGATAGGGGATGATAAAACAGACCAGGGTAAAATTTCCATGAATGAACGGTCTTGCATGATGATATGATGGAATGAGTGCGGCGCGACAGTGTGTGTTGTGACGAAATGAGGGCCATCCATCCCCAGCAACTCAACAGGCAAATGGGACTTATGTCACTTTTAAATATCAACTCTCGTTTGCGCTGAAATCACAAATTAGAAAGCTGAAATAGTACAGCGCCAGCAACTGACCTGTGTCTACGTTTCCGTATATTCCAAAAATATTCTGTATTTATTGTAATAAAGATAATATCTCTAACAATGGGGAGCTATTCCATTCGGTGGTGTGGGAAAAACAGCAAAACATCTAACTACAAAAGAAACGGAATCACATTTCATCACTAATTAAATATGTCATTTTTCAATTTTCGTCCATTAAAATGGTCGATTTGAAGTGAAACAATTGACGACACCCGCCAATTGTTTCGAATTCGAACTGCCCAATCGGAGCGCAGTAGTCATCATAATGATTTGGCAGAATAGTTTTCAAAGAAATTAAATGACATTTCGTCTCTATTTTTGGTTATAATACTCGATGGTGTTGTGTGTAATGCGATTTAAGTATTCTTATAATCACAAGTGTTAATGGTGTTGAGTAGTTTGATTCATAGTAGACAATGAATTTGTAATATTTTGCTTCTCAGTGCATTTGTTACAAATTTATTGGGTTCAATATACCTAAATACAAACACTGTCATAGATATTTTTACTGAATATCGTGATAATATTCGTCTTATTTTCATCTATTTTTTTAAATTATTATCACAAATGGATGCAGTGGACTTTCTCAGAATCGATGAAAAACGAATTACTCACTTCCCGGAAAAAATCATTAAAATTTGTGTAAAGTTTATGTTGTAGTTTATTATAGACACTTAAACAATTTCTCAAATGTATTTAAAAATAAAATGGAAAAAATAATTTAATATTTTTGAGTAGGCATTATTTTGACGAGAATTAGCTCACATACATAAAGTGTGTCCCATTTTGAGTTAAGTGGATATCTTTTGATTATTTCTTACAATATTCTAGCGACGGTTTTTTTGAAGTGTAGAGAATAAAATTTTACGTTCACTAATGATATAACATTAAATTTCACATATTTTGAGAAACAACACTATTGTAATAGCAGTGCGATATGATACACAATGAAAAATTCCTTCGACCTCATCAGGCAGACACACAGGGAAGCTTGTAGGTAGCCCTGGTGTGACACAAACGCAGGTTCGAGTTAGAACTCAGATCTTTGAATAAAGTTTAAATAAACGGGTTTTTTACTATAGCGCCACTTTGGGCGATATTTATGAATTATTCGAATTAATTTTTTAAATAAATTAACATAAATGTACATGTATAAATTAACTTGCATTATGAATCATACCGAGGGAATACATGAATCAGATACTATTTAGAGTAAACAGAACCCTACTGTGTTGTCCAAGAAATACAATCCTTAAATTCAAATCTATGATGGACTACTTCATGAAATGAATGTAATCTAAAACACAGGTACTTGCTTATTCATTTATTGAAAAAGATACACCATCAACTTAACACGAAACAATCTTAGAAAATTATGTACATACGTCCACTATACAAGGTGCCAAATCACAGGTCACGCACTGCTATTACAATAGTGTCATACCTCACAATGTGTGAAATTCAAGATTATACCATTGTTGAACGTAAAATTTGATTCTCTACACGTCAATAAAACCGTCGTTAGAATATTGTAAAAAAGAACTAAAATATATACACTTAACTCGAAATGAGACACGCTTTATGTGACCTAGTTCTGGCCAAAAGTGTCCTCATTCAAAAATATAAAATATTTTTTCTTTTTATTTTTAAATATGTATATTTGGCAAGTAGGAAATAACTTATACATAAATTTACACAGATCTTTCACGGGAAGCGAGTAATTAATTTTTTGTCGATTCTAAGAAAATACACTTTTTGAGTTAATACACTATCGCTTTAACAGTGCCATATCACTAGAGATTTATTTCTATGCTTTCATGTGATAAAATCACTTTTGCCGTATATAATGACATGTAGATTTGTTATATCTATATTTTATATCATAATAACTTGTTAGCTTTATTGGATGTTATAAGTACTTACAGTGGGAAAATAATGAAACGTATATGTTACAGTGGACGCGACTATGGGTGGTGCTCTGCGTATCGACTCGAGCTTGGACACAGCAGACACAAACACACACGGTAAGTTTTGTACGCAAATGCTGACTGTACACACCACTATGCGAAAACGTTTCAAAACTAAAGAACCAAATAGTTGTTGTTACTGTATAAAAGATGTGGAAAGAGAAGACGGTGGTAGGTAATAATAATATGGCAGACAATCACATAATTTTTTTATGAGATCAAGTGACGGGACGAGTAAGTCGTGCACTTGTTAACCCTTCAACAAACCCCGGGAAATTATTTCCCACTTGGTATGAATTCGAAAGATACTTTTTATCTTTTTTATGGCAATAATGAACAAAGGCATTCATAAAAAAATACATTCTTGATAAAATATTGAATGTAATAAATGGAACCACTTTTTTGTATCGCAATCTGTCGCCGTACGTCGATTTCAAATTCATAACTTGTAATTTTTTGGAAAAAAATCCGTTTTTCCTCAGAGTTTTTGAAAGTGAAAAAAAATTCTAGTAAGTCGATATACGCAATATTATTCTAAACTAGACTTATTTTTTCAACGTACGTCTTGCAAATGACCCTAAATGCAATAAGATTTCTTCCATATTTTGAGTTTTGCGTCGGTGTTGTACCGGATAATGGGAATTATTTTCCCCTCTAAGCGATATTTTTGTACGCCGTAACGAACAATGGCAAAAAATTTCCCACCACATTTTCCCCCTTTTTCCCCCACTCTTCCAAAACTTTCACAATTTTTTTAAAATCCTTGGACCAACATTACCTAGAAGCCCTCGCAGTTTTTGTTGATGTCGTAATAAGTTTTGTATTTGATTATAAGTTAAGCGACACGCCTGTCCATAGCAGTTGCAGTGTCTGATCTGAGGGACACTGCCACATCGCCTGTCACATAGAGACATAAGTCGACAAGTCTCATGTGTCTGTAATTTCACCCTTACCCATCAAAACCGGAACGCAGCAATGCTCACATTACAGCTTGGCGGCTGAAATAGATGAGGTTACCTTGTTTTAAACTAGACACTTTCCTGTACTGTGAGTACCAGGGCTATAAATATAATTATAGAGCGTTACCCGCAACACAGAGATATAGGGAATAAAACACACTACACAACCACTAATAGCGTAGTTTGTGACAAAAATTCACCCTGTATAAACTTCTAAAACATTTCTCTTACAATCGAGATAAACAAAACAAATTAACGTGATCGTATCTTTATAGATAAACAGCACGATTCAACTAAAATCGATTATTTATTTACAATTTTATCGTTTGTGAAACCAGATTGCCATGTAACAAATTAGATAACTTAGCCGTCACTTACATTCGAATTAAGTTTGAACAGTAGGAAGCGTTCCTTTCACTTACGGAAGTAGAAAAGTACATAAGTTAAGTACTTGAGGGTGTCTTAAATCAACCAGTAACCATTATGTAATGTAATACAGGCTGACTAAAAAAAGTATAAATTTTGTATGCTACTCAATACTAGATAGGTACAGGATGGTCACGAAGAACATTCTCAAATCAAATTGAGAGTATAGTAATATAGTATTCTTTAAAAAGTTAGGGTGTGAAAAGATCCGGGCGGCGTCGTGGTTAATGTTCACCGATCCCACGGCGCCGACTCAACCGGCGAGAGGGAAACCCGAGGGGGTTTTAGTGGGGTAGGCCCTCCAATGTGGAGGGAGAGTCCCCACATAACCCCTGAGTCTCCCTGGTCTCAGGGGTATCCATAAAGATTTCCCCCCGCCAAAAAAAAAGGGTGTGAAAAGAATAATAATAATAATAATAACGCACACACTCAACATAGCCCCGCACTAGGGAAACCCTGTGTCGCGGGTGCCATGGACACACATAGACAACCACAAATTACACCCAAACTCACGAGAGAAATAAATGTAGGCCATACAAATATTTCTCCAGGCCCGGGAATCGAACCTGGGACCTCTGCGTGGCAGTCCGGCATGGTAACCGTTAGGCTACAGAGGCAGTTGATAATAAGAGAGCCTGTTTGAATAAAAAAATATTTCGGCCGTTTATTCATGAGGGTTAGTACTAGTACACTTAAAATAGAGCTAGTGTTGCAAATAAAAATCCTTTTCAATATGCATTATTTTAGTAGCAGTAGAGCTCTTTATAAAAGAGTTCGTCCAGGGAAGTACCTACTACCACCTTACCTATTTCTGCCGCCAAGCAATAATATGAACATTACTGCGTTCCGATTTCGAAGGGCAAAAGGGTGTTGGTGAAATTACAGGCACATGGGACTTGTCAACTTATGTTTCAGGGTGTCGGGCGCAGTGGCTGTGCCCCTCAGATCTTTGTGATTTAATGCTCTGAGTAGCACTGCCACTGTTATGGACACGCGTGTTGCTTACCAACAGGCACACGACTTGATTATCCCGTCACTTTGAAATAAAAAAAACGTTAACATGCAACAGGGAATTCTGTGATACTCGTGTAAACCCCTCGACAAGATTACGTCTTCTGGGGGCCTGGATTTTTTCTTGCAGAATGAGTTACAGTTAGACATGTAGTATATTATATCCTTTATGTAATAATTTGTAAATATTTTTTATTCTTATTAAATAACACTCTGTAAAAAGGGCACTAATTTAAATTGTATAGCGTAGGTGACAAAGAGCTGATTGAGAAAAATTTACAACTAAAATATAGTAAAAAATCCTTAATGTAATAAGGTCACAACTGCAAAATCACAACTTTTCAGTAGAGGTTTACTGATTTTACAAACGAAAATAATTCCATAACTTTTTTATGCTTAAATAGGACAATACATAATTTATTTCATATGCCAAGGGTTTGTTAGCAATAGAGCTCCGTGTGGAAGAGTTCGTCCAGGAAAGTACTGCTTTTTCTTTACATATACCATCAAGTGACAGGACGAACAAGTCATGCACCTGATGCTAAGCTACACGCCTGTCCATTACAGTGCCACTCAGAGCTTTAAATCGCAAAGATCTGAGGGGCACTACCACTGCGCCCGTCACCCTGAGACATAAGCTGACAAGTCACATATGCCTGTTATTTTACCAATCTCCTTATCTACTTCTCAACCATGTGGCATTACTGCGTTGCGATTTTAAAGGGTAAGAGAGCTAGTGAAATTACAGGCACATGGGACTTGTCAACTTATATCTCAGGTTGACGGGTACAGTGGCAGACCCGTCAGATCTTTGCGATTTAAAGCAATGGCGCTCCAACTGTTATTGACAGGCGTATCGCTTACCACCAAGCATCAAGGTCGTCCGTCACTTGGTACAATAAAAAACTAAATATGCAAGAATGCAATGCATAAGGCGTACATTAAAAGAAATCTCCATTACGTTTCATGTGGAATTTGATTTACAAATTTCCCACTTGCAAAAACGAGAAAAGCAGAAAAGTACCGGAAGGCTTAGAAATAGCCCTTCAATTTGTAAAATCCTCAACCTGTCTCGAGTCAAAGTGCTCGCCAAAACATTTCACAACAACAATTTGTAGTTATATCACGCAATGATTAATAGATCAATGACAGTTAGAACAATGGTTACGCCACAGTTTCCTAGGAGAAAGTTTACTGACACTTTAAAAGCTTAGTTGAAATTGATAAATTTAGAACAAATAAGCTTTTGTTGCGTAATTACTAAAGCTAAATGTAGGTTGTATCCTTGGTATAACAAGGTCGGATATACGCCCAAAGTGCTTTTATCAAGTCATAAAAATAACGAAATAAATTGTGAAATTTTATAACTTAAGAGAGTTATAAATAAGCATAATAAAGTTATCGACCAATTTTGTTCGTAGAATCTTTAAGCGTCTCCCCTCAAAAGTATCATTTTACAGATGTGGCCTTACTAAACTACGGATGCGATTTTAGATTTTTTTACTATATTTTAGTTGTTGGTTTTGCTGAATCAGCTAGGTCTATTATACATATAGTCCATAAGTCCTCTGTAGTGCCGACCCATAGACCCTTTTGACTTTTTCTTTATTTGTTTGTATATAATGTATAGATTTGTATATATCTGTATCTTTATATGTATGTATACGATAATAAACATTTAGAACTCTTTTTAAGCTGTAATGTAATAAAACTTAGTGTTTATGATACATATTATAAGTTAAACAAATAGTATACATTTTTTTAGAATTTATTATGAATATGGCAATGTTTTATTTTTATTATGGGCAGGCAACACTGTTTTCACTTTCTATAATTATTTTTTTAGATATTTTTGGAAATACAGTCCATCGATTTATATTCAACTAGCATTTTATTTGTATACTTAAAACAATACAAGTTTTGCAATATATATTTTAGTCAATTTCGTTTCATACAATAATTGTAGTGCAAAACTGTTTCTAAATAATTTTGAGACACTGTTAACTTAATCGGGATCAAAAACATTTTTTGTGCCTTTTTTTGTCGTGTCATAGAACATGATCATTCGTGCTTCGTGTCTCGAACTCGATTGTCGTTTTATCTCCCTAATGCGTTTTTAGGTTTTTGTATAAACAAAGTTAACAATAATGTTAAAATTTTGTAATATAATTTGTAATATAATAATTAAAATTGTAGAAAATTAGAAACCGCTCCTTTTCCAATTTCGTTACAAATAGAAGGTTTAGCACACCTGCTACGACACTTGACAATGACATTTCTTTGTTTACATTTTGGATATCTAATTATGATTCATACTGTAAGTATCATTTACAATTTCACAATATTTATTTTAAATATCACAGGTAGAAACCGCTATTAAAGAGGTAATCCATTCCAATAGGTTTTTGTAACTATATATTATTATATACTTTTTTTCTAAACTAAAGATCGGTTTAGAAACACAGATTTAAAGACATTCGTGGTTCAATCCACTAAACGATCATCATGACGCTTAAAACCAGTCTGAAATGATAAGAAACCTGTAATTTGTCGTTAATAGTTCTGTTTAGAAATATTGTAAAGTACGGAACAATAGTAATTACTATAGTTTAATGTAACTGGTAATTTAAAACTTGTTTTTAACGTATGAAGTTTAATTTT